GCTAAGAGCTTTATCTGATTTGAGGGTGGCTGAGGAATCAGCTAGACTTGAAGTGGAGGATGCTGAGGAAATATCAAGATGTGATCTTGAAGAGGCAGCATGGCATGACGTTGAGAAAATAGACTTTAGTGAATCTATGATGTCTTCCGTTTTAATGAGTGATGGATCAACTATATCTGAGCATGTGGTTGTTAATGGCGAAGAGGTCAACAAGATCCTTCGAAAAGTTGATGATGTAGTGGAGTTGGAGCGCATTAAACGAGCTGATATAGTTGCGGGAGAAAGTCAATCAATGCTTCGTCTAGAAGCACGAAAACAAGTTGATAGGCGTTTTTCCGTTTCAAGGCGTTTTTGTCGCAAAATAATGCAGTTTGAATCTGAGGAAGAAATTACACGTGAAATTCTGTTTGAAGAAGAAGTGGCTGAGCGTGATTCCATGTGCGCTGAGTTTGCGGAGCAGTTTATGCTTTCAAAATCAATGGGTCAGTCCACGACAGAGGCGGAAGAAGAAATGTTGTCAGCTTCTCGTGTGTATAACAATGAGTACAAATGGCGAATGCTTAAAATGGCTAAACCGCCTCCCAATATAGCAACACCTATCCCTTTTATCGGTTTTTCTTTAGCAGAATTTGTAGGTGAATCATTCTTAAAGGTAAGTGGTCTTTATGAGAGTGGTCCTGCATTCCAGGCGGGAATACGCATTGGGGATATTCTTTTGGAAATTGAAGGGAAACGTGTCACATCCATTTATGAAGTTAGACGTGCTGTTTCAAAATATTGTCGTGTCGCTGAGTTAACAAATATGAAACTGCAACGACCTGATGGAACAGTGTACAAGATATCTCTTTGGGTCATGACGGCAGAATTACGTTTTAAAGATGAACCCTATTTCTTTGATATTGAGTCCCACACACGCTACCAACGACAGTGGCGAACTGATCAAATTGTGAAAACCCCTGAGAAATCTTGAGGATATATATTTATTTTTTTGTTTTGGATCCTTATCGTTTTGATAAATTTCTCTGTTTTGCAGTAATATTTCTCTTCATTCGTATCTATTCGTATTCTTATTCGTTTTCGTTTCTTTATTTTGTACGTTTTTTTTGAGCCTCGGCATATCATATATATTTTTAATAATATGTGAATTTTATTTTACTTTTATTGATACTCTTTCTTAAAGTACCTCAATTACTTTATTTATTTTATTATTATTTTGTTTCTAAGGCACAAAAAGGGTCTCCATTGCCTCAAGCACGCAAGTGTGAGGAGTGATATAGGGAACAGAAAAAGAAAGAGAGAGAGAGAGAGAGAGAAAGAGAGAAAGAGGTGCGAGTTTATTAGTTGCCCCATCTGCAGGATATGCCCTCTACAGTGGCGATTCGAAGCATTAAATGGAGTTTTTTGTTGTGTATTTTATGGATTCTTCTTCGTATTTGGAGGCGCGTGGCACAACGTCGCATTGAAAATGTTCTACCATTGTATTCGTCAATCATTGTAAAACGGAAAGTGAACGGAAAAATCACTGACCGACCTATTACAGGTGTAAGTAATGGGACCGCTCACAATATTTCAGCTGTTGGGAAGAGCTGTGAGCAGAAACAACAAAAAGGACAAAAGAACACAAAAAATTTTCTAGGAAAAAAGAATATAAATAAAACGGGAGAGAGAGTTGTGAAAGAGATTATAGTTAATGACGGATTGGAACTTGCATCCGCTACACCTTTTCTTGGCTTTTCACTCGTGGATAACATAAGGAAGGGAACTCTACTTGTCGACGGTCTCTTCCAGTATGGTCCTGCCTACAACGTTGGCGTCCGTATTGATGATGAGTTAGTAGAAGTAAATGGCATAGTGGTGAAGGGAATAGAACATGCACGAGAACTCGTTCGTACGTACTGTGTTCCAGGGACCACCATACCGTTCGTGTTTAGACGTTCTGGTGGTGAGCCATTTGCGGTTAAATTAGGAGTTATGACGGCAGAAAGACGATTTTCTGGGACTGAGTTTTACTACGATCCTACACGACACGATATTCTGGAGAGTAAACGTGAGAAGAATGAGTGTTGGTCATGGCGCAATCTGCGTTAATGTGTTCATATTCCTTTTTTTTTT